ATCACGTTTTTCTTAAAATCTACCCGTATGACCCCACCTCAAAATTTCAGGAATAAGAAATTGGCTCTGATTTAACATTCATGCAAAGTAAAATAAAGATCTGTAAGATAGATTTTTCGCAAACTAAGAAAATGTGAAATCAAAAATAGTTCAAAATTTGTCTTAAAGATTTTTATTCTACTTTGCATGAATGTGAAATCAGAGCCAATTTCTTATTCCTGAAATTTTGAGGTGGGGTCATACGGGTAGATTTTGAGAAAAACGTAATTTTTTAACCTACTAGTGCCCAGTCTCTCCGTAGGTATCGGTCGTTCATTTTGGCAATTTGTTGACGTTTAATTGTACAAGTTTCACATAGAATGGTAAAAGACTTAAGTAAACAGTAAATAGAGAAAAAGAAAAACATCTTGGAACATTTTTCAAAAGAGTTAGAAGTTGGGCTGTTATAATCCATCAAAACTGTAGTAAGCCACCTAAGCTGCGTATTTAAGGTTTGAAGTCAGAGTATTTGGTATTTAAAAAACCTTGCAGCTAAGATTTATCGATGTCTTCACGAAATGTATACGACATCTGGCACAGTGCGCGCTTCAACAAAAATAAACCATGAGGCTTTACGGTACAATGCAAAACCTATCGTACATTGCTATTTTAACATACCAAACCTACTAATGCTCGACCGTACTCTTTAATCTACGATTACTGATAGTTTTATGATTACTAGTAAACCTGAAACCACAAAGCACTTCTTTGGTATTGCGGCCAGAGCCCGGGGGATACTCCTTTNTTGGTTTTCGTGGATTTTTTGTTTTTGTTTTTATTGCGATGAGGACATGGCAAATGGTTATAAAGTTCAGTCAACTGATCTCGTGTCACTTTGTATCTGACTGGTTTGAGTCATTTTGCCCCCCCCCCCCCCCCCCCCCCCTGGGGACCAGAGACTTTCCCTCCGGTAAGATAAGATAAAATGATTTGTTAGACCTCCCAACTCAAATACGTGTTCCGATTGGAGGAGAACGTGTCACGTGTCGTGGGTCAAAACTCACTAACTCCTTAGGGCGAACAAAACTCACTAACTCCCTTGGGAAACAACAACTTGAACTTTGACTCGCACGTGAACAGGTCGTGCTCATTGAAACCGTGGCAAATTTGTGAGCCAGCCGGCGTCAAGCAAACGATTTCTTCGCAGTTTATTCTATTTTTGAGTAGGGAGGTATAACAAAACACCCAATGACTGGCCCCAAGGGAAACAGTGAGTTTTGTTTCCCCGAGACCCTCAGTGTTCCCTGAGGCGCCTCAGGGAACACTGAGGCTCTCGGGGAAACAAAACTCACTGTTTCCCTTGGGACCAGTCATTAAGTGCTTATTATTTAACGTCAAATCCACGGGGGTTGGTTACCCAGTACCCCAATGATTAGTGTGTTTGACAAGCTAAAAACTAAATGCGTGTAAAACGAACTACACATATCTAAAAGCTATTGTTTCACACAATTGTGTTCTAATGTATTCATATCTACCATCCTAAGAACCGACTGAAGTTCTTGAAAAGAGTAAATAAAATTACCCATTATTTTGCAAGTTAACAGTTAGTTATATGAAATTGTAAGTCCATACGTATGACTCTGGGCATGTTTCTTTTGGCACTTACTTAATAAAGAATTCTTATTCTTACAAGTCCCATACAAAGTTCGCGACCAATATATATAGCTATATTTACAATGGGTCGCTTTCTTATAAATACCCCTACATAAATACCCCTAAACGGATTAGCCGCTCATACTGTATGTATCGGGCTAAAAGATAGTTTCTTACTCACGGTCACCCTTAACATGCTATCTGCGAAATTTATTGGAGAGAAAATATGGAAAAAGGCTCCACTGAAAAGCTAAAGAGCAATAAGTTGATGTCCAAGCGCATGAAATGGATCATAATAGCTGTCATTGTCGCTGCACTCATTGCCTTGGCGCTCAGTGTGGTATTTATGGGCTTGAAGCCCCACCGCAATACCTCTGCAGATTCGTCGACTGCATCTCGGGAGAGTGACACCAAAGAGGTCGATGTGGTTTCCCTTGTCGGTTTCCACGTGGGTCGCATGATTGCCAGGGGCAACACAACAGAAGGGCCACAGAAAGCAGTCATTGATTATGAGCTGCAGTGCAAGGAGCACGCCGAACTCAACGAATCACTGGTTCGCTGCGATTTCACCCAGATTGGCTGTACCATGGTGATGCAAGACAACGTCACAGAAGAAGATTGCATAATGGAGGACGTCATGTTCAGTTTTGAAGTGGATGAGGACGGAGAAATCTTTACTAACGAGACTGACGTCCTTGACCCAGCTCGCTTGGCATTGGCACTGTACACGAACCATCTCCGAGCTCGTGACTGCAACGGAGAAGCGCAACGGCATGCAGTGAGTAAGACCAACTCCACACATGCCACCATCAGCTTCAGTGGTTTGACCCTAGAGGTGACCGAGCTGCCAACAAACGCTTTTAGCAAACATTACCGGCAGTCCAAGAAGTCCAGGAGGAACATTCAACCTAACACATTCTTCGAAAAGGACTCGAAAAAGACCCACGGGGTAAGGCGCCGGCGAGACACATCTTCAGACTCCATTCTTGGTGGTGCATTTGGACAGACCCTTAAGAATTCCTGGAAGGGAGGCCCCTACGTCAAGGTGCCCCACCTCTTCTCTGACAACAAGTCTCCCTGGCTGGGCTTAAGGTATGACGCCCGCGTGTCAAACTTTGAAGCCTTGTTGAGCACACTTCCCGACATACATGTAACCGCTGTCGTGCCCCCCGTTAGCTCGGTGTTCCAAGATGGATACAAAGTCAAGCTCGAAGCCGACTTCTCTCTTAACCAACAGTGCAGGGACGTGGTGCAATCTCGGGTGCATGTTTATTTTTACGCAAGAGCTTGTATTTGGTTCTGGTGCTTCCTCAACGTACGCAAGGATGACTACGTTTCCCTTCATCTCACTCCCATGGTTGAGGTAACTGTAACTTTAAAACCGCAAGGCTCTGATCTCCATTACAGCTTCGACCTGACTCATGTCGATATGGGGACAAATGCTGACATTGGCGGCCTTGACAGCGTTTCATCAAGTATCGGAATGATCGGCGCGTTGTTTGGCCCTGGAGGATTCCTAATAGGCTTTCTCTTCGATCGCGTTTTAGAAAATGTCATCAGGCGAATTTACCCTGACTTGGCGCAGGCAGTTCCAGGTATCGTCAACAGCCAGGCACGTTCTCTCATCCGGGACTTGCTGCCATCGCCTGGAGTTCTTAGTGGGGCAGAGGCAGGTGTGGTAGCCGCGCATATGATAACAGGCCTCTACGGTGGCTCGTCGATCAAGCTCCTGACGTTAGAACTGTCCAACATCAATGGCCTGCTCGCTAACGCTCCCCCTCCATTCCAGCCAAATAAGATTGCTTGCTCAGGTCAGGGACTGATCCAGACGATTCATGACGGTTGCATGAATGATTACGGCACTACTACGAGTGGGGACAGCCTGGAGATCTACTGCTTTGGCGGTGCAAAGCGCTTCTGCCTATCCGGTGAATTATGTCCATGGCGCAACCAGCCAACAGCTGCCTGTTCTGCCTTGTATGAGTTGGCCACGTGTTCTGTGAGCGGTCTAAGCGGGCAAAATATGGCCGATGCATGGGGTGTGGATTACCAATGTAACCGACGCTGTCGCGGTTGGTGGTTGTGGCGACGCTGCTGGAACGACTGCTCCTGTTCTGGTTCTTCATACAGGAACATCGACTGCGTCGAAGGATCAGTGCAGACCTGAGAAAATACTCTCAACTTACGTTGTCAGTATGGTAATTTTTCTGAGTCAAGTTTCAGAACATGTTAGTCTTGTTTTGTCGTTGTCGTTTATGATTTCAGTTTTATTTTTTGTCAAACCTTTTTGCTTAATATTTTAACATAGTTCTCTCGGCGGAGATGTGTAGAGGAATAGAACAACAGAGTTTTGTTCGAATTCCTGAAAACATCTTATTTTATTTTCGTTCGATCTTGACGGGATAATGGAACAGACTTTGATTAATTAATAAATTAATTAATTAACCCAATCTTGAACTTTGCCACACTGGAAAGCTCTGAGAAGAACAATGAAACAGGTTGTAATGTTAACTCTTATAGATTCAAGTAATTCATATCTATCAGTAGCTCCACACATATCGTCTTCTTCTAAGAAGAGTTTGAAAGATCGTTTATAGCGGAATGCTTCGATTATGACTGGTGTAATGGATAAGCATTAATTAATTAATTAATTAATTAATTAATTAATATTCTGTTTTTAATTTCAGACAATGTTGAACTTTCTTAAATAAACCCACTGTTTAAACGTTACCGTTTTTAAATATAACTTGCCCATGTGTATGTGTAAGAAAGCTTGGTTACCGAATCATCTGACTGATACAAAAAAAGAACTTCGCAAGCTATCGTTTTCTAAAACACTTGCCAAAGGGATTTTCATGGGACTCCAGGATCCAAGACAGCAATAAGGCAAAAAAAATAATTAGCATAACATGCCGGACTGTGAGAAAAGAAAGCCCCTGGTTCTACTCTCCTACACTCTCCACCCCACCCTATTATTTCCCATATAGTCAAACCAAGTGAAGCGTACTCCTCAAGATTACATTAATGAATTGATTATTTGAATATTGAACTCGCTAGTCTTTTCAAAAATCAATATTAAATTGATTTTTTTGAACATTAAACCCATTAGCCGTGTTCTTGGAACGACTGGTGAATTCAATTTTCCAATAATCAGTTCATTATTGCATTCTTGAAACGACTAGCGGGTTCAATATTCAAATAACCAATTCATTAATGTAATCTTGAGGGGTACGCTTCACTTGGTTTGAGTGCAATAAGAACAAACTCAGGATAACTTTGAAACTAAACAAGCATGTTGGTATAACATGGAGGCATCAGTTAAGAAAATCTTGGTCTACAATATATTTAAGAGTCTTTCATGTTACAAAATTGATCGATATCACTTAAAAGCGAACGTTTCTCTTGCAATTTAGAGTTTTGCGCAGATTGATACCCTGGCATTAATCTCGGCTTGTAGGAACCACACATTGGGGAAACACTGAGCTTAGCCCGACTTTTATCAGATGTACTGGTACCAATCTGCTCCTGGAAACGTAGAAAAGGATTCTTCTCGCTTCCTTGGCCGTCTTGCTCCCCTAGTTTCTATCAGGCCCGGCCTGTGCCTCGTACTTTTAGAAGGAAATAACTGCCACCAATTTCTGCTGACTACGCAGGCAAATTAAAAGGCTTGTCCTTTATAGTGTTAGCGAGAGGAAAAACTGCTCTCCGTGGAACTAAAACATGGTTGCTGTCCGTAAGTTCCACAGACATACCCAAGTGAAAACAAGATCCAAATTTACAGAGCTAAATTAAATATGAGGAAAGTAAACGTTCTTCACTGACAAAGCTTGTGGTCTTGGTTGCTGGGAATGGCCGCGCATTTCTCTCGATTGTGAGTAAGATAAATGTCCTTGATTAATTGCCATCTTTTGGTGTGCATGCTAAAAAAAACACAAGCAGGCTAAAATAAGTACTGACTAAAGTGAGGAATTCAGTGAGCAATTAACTTCGGGCTTAGACTCATACAGTGCGGATTCACAAACGCCGCGTCCACGTTATCGAGTTGCCAATAAACTCAAGGTGCATGTCGTCATTTATTTTAGCACCGGGGTTTATCTTAGACTGCGAATAGTCCCTCTTTCGCTTAGTCCGTCGTGCGTGACGCGAAAGAAAAGCGCAAGAAAAAATGGCTGCGCGAACTCCAGGGGTTGAGAAGCACGCGCGCGTCTTGTCCCCAGGATTTCACGCGGCCATTTTTTTCCCACGGTTTGTTTACGGTCTCTCCCGACGGACTAAGCGAAAGAGGGACAACTCGTAGTCTAGGTTTATTTGAACCCAATTGAATAAAACATTTATTATATCATTGCAGATTGCTCCCTAGGTGACGAATGGCATTTAAATGATATCATAGTTGCAATAGGAGATTGCTACATACCTGGTGCAGGTTCTTCGACGCACTATCGTTTTGGTCCGATGTTAGAGTCACAGATTGCCTTGGTGACCAGGTTGTTGCCAGTTTGCGCAGCGCAATGTTAGGAGAAGTGTCAATCATTTTTCTTTCTTGAGTTTGGTCTAGTTCACTTGGGCTTACAGAAAACGTTCTATAACAAGGGCGCTGCTGGACCACTGAGCGCGAAGAACATGCAGGGCTGAAAGAATCATGTCTAATTATAGGTTCTTTGGTTATAAACAAATTGCTGAATTGGCGATTAAGTCCGTGGCTCGAGGTGTTTGGTGAAGCTGTACCACGGCATCGTATGTCCTTAGCGTCACTTAAACTAGGACACAAGATCCTCGAAAAATCCTTCACTGTAAGCTTTTGCATACATGAAGTGTTTACTTTTTTGTCTCCATGCACAGTGCAAAGGTCCTTGTTGTCAAGTAGACTGGTGTCAGGGAATTGCTGCAAAGACAACTCGTTTCTTTCGCGGACACGTTTGCCTGATCCTCTGTATCGCTCGCCGTTCATTATATGCTTAGAAACCTTTTCTTTTTCGTCTGGTTTCTCCATACCCTCTCCGCTCCATCGAATCACTGGTCGTTTGCCGTATTTTTGTTGCGCAAACGCCAGTTTTTCCTGTTCCCACGAGTGCATCAATTTGTTCCGTTCGCCCTGGATGAATTTCAAATCTTTCTTCAAGCTGTCACCCTGGGCAGTATTTCTCATCATTGCCTTTCTAAGGTTTCGAATAAATTTCATGTACTCAGTCGGATTCTCCAAGTCTTCAGCCATTGCGGCCTGTTTTCGTGAACGAGTGTAAATTTTCACATTATTGAATACTCACAAGTACATGTGTGTACTAGACCAATCAATTTCTGACATTCATTAGCTTTCAAATTAGTCTAATTATATTTTACAGAGCCTGGCGGTTCTTTGTTTAATTACTCCTGTTGATTCCCATTTTTTGTCAAATAGCAATCTCTCTAGCGGATAAACCTGTTGTTCATAAGTTTTTGATACAAAAATCTATTGTTTTCATCTTAATTACACATGGTTTTGATTGTTTTCACTTGAAAGAAGTTTATTTCAATACATCAAAACATGCACCGCTTTAACTGGCTCATACGTACGTACGATCGCAGACGATCGCAGNGTGATAACAACTGAACAAACTCTTGTTTTGACTGACTGCGTTTTAAATTTAGCCACTGACAAAGGCAATAGTGTGAAGTCGAACTGTCTGCCAGTGCGCGAGAAAGCAAAGTTAAAGTTTTATTTGAAATTTAAATCTTTAACAACAGAGGTACATTATCGATGGATTTACGCCGGGAGCAAATAAAAACAAGACCAAACAACGAGACAACGAGCTCAAGACATGCTCCAGATGCTATTTTAGAACAAAGTGTAATTAGTGTGGAAATTACCGTCTGATTTCTTAAAGCCCAAAGAATCACAAACCCAAATTACGAGCTTGTAACACTGAAAATATCCAAGTGGGTGGTTGTCACCCAATTCAAATAAAACAGAATTGTCGCAGATATCAATGGCCCCCTATCATAGGTATTTCCACTCACGTACAGCTGTAGTGAGACCTTTTGTTTAATACTCAGAGGGTGGAGTTGGCCGGTGAGGTAGGTCGCAATTAAGTAGGTAAATTTGAACTATTTTACTTTGATGCGTTACATGCATTAGAGTGGTTTTCAACCGAGTGTCGTAAAACCAAAACAAAACATGTGCGAAGCAATCGAGAATTCTAGAACATCTAAGCCCAGATTGTAAGATCTTCACGTGCAAGCACTTCTCTCTCAAAGATGGACACGTTTTTCCTTTGTCGTCTACTTGTAAACCATTGTTTTCACTGCAGTTATCCTTGATCTCATTTTCGCATTGTTCCATTATAAGTGCAATAATCTTCGAAGCGATATAGTTAAGGGATTAACTTTATTGCTTTTAATTTGCTGTGTTTGGACCTGTATGGGTTCGGTTTTTTGGAGAGAGCCCATGTTCAAGTACGTCGACATGCGGTTGCACTGCACGCGCAAGTTATAAGTTCATTATGTGATTTGTCATACGAAATTTATTAGTAATGTCGGAACGCGGTTAAGCAACAAAACTACAATACAGGAGCCGGAGCATAAATCAACTAACTGAAACCGACATGAGAAATACAGAAAAATAATAAATAAAAAGAAACTTACAAGGCGGATGCGAAGAACTTTAACCGATCGACGAACGTATAACTCTGACCGATAACAGCTAACAATTCAAAACTGAACTGAAGAAATAAATTACAGACATGCGGGCTGAATTTATACGGTATGCAAAAAAAAAAAAATTCACAAGTACATAAAAAAAATTAAGACAAAGGAGCCGATGAAACAAAAACTAACACTAAACACGAAACTATATGAATGAATTTTTGGCCACAACAAGTAAATCTTTGCAGCTGTTACCCACCAAGCCGGCTAATATTTGGCATTGATTTAACTAATGATTTCGGCAAAAAAATACGCCAGGATAAGTTTTAATTTCACAATGAAATTTACAAATGGTCCTTAGATATAACGGGATTATCAAATTATGATATTTACCCTCCGAATAATCAGTATTTTATTCGCAAAGTGGGAAGTTGAACAAATCACGACAGTTCAATCAGTTTGTACATAATGATACTGAAATGTGTAAAATATAAATGTATACTTAATTGGCCACTCCCCGTTGGGGCTTTTTAGGATCCATGTAAACAAACAATGTTAAATAAATTTTCAAATAAACATAACGAGGTTAAGAATCTCAACTGGCGCGAGGCAGACCAGTTGGCTATTTACAAGCGCAGCCGAGAAGTTGAACTGGGGCCTTCCGAGTCCTACGGATTTCTAATTCGGAGCTCTAACCACTCGGCCACGCTATGGAATTCATATTCCACGTCATATCAGAAAGCTTCCATCGGATATCAATAAATTCACTCGTCCACCTTCAGGGTAATTTTCAAACAAAAGCGTCATGAGCATATAAAAAGGTCAGTTTCTTGTGAAAAGTCGCCAGAACGTTTTTCTCTCGTTCTTCATATGAGTATTTACAGCCGATGCAAGGTCGCTCGTCTCAATCTCCGCTTTAACTCAGTAACACTCGGATCGCGCGGGGCTGGAATTGCGGCAAGTGAAATTCGTCTCGGCGTTTGAGTTTTCACAGCCAGTAGACTTTCCATTTTGTTCAACGTTGAAACAGTTGTACTCATTTATGCCCGGAAGTCTATCAATGCTGTTGGCCTGCATGAGTAAAGAAACTCTCTTGTTATTTTGCTTTGCTGTTTTTTTTTTTTTTAAACGGCTTCCACCCCTTTTACCAGTATCTTTGCTGCAGCTGAATTATTTCTAGCCGTTGGACTCGTTTCTCTTTCATTGTGCTTGTAGCTGA